CCGGAGCCGGAGCCGGAGCCGGAGCCGGAGCCGGAGCCGGAACCCGAGGACGAAGAGGGTATATTATTGTTAACACGTTCATCAATACTCAAGTCAGTGAAACAAGAGGAGGTTCTCGAGGAAGTAGAAATTTCATTTCAATTTCGTAAAGAAAATTTAAATAGAAATGAAGATAATGAAAACTTGAGAAAGCAACAGCATATAGATAATACATTCGATAATGTAGCTCAGGAGGAGAAAGAAGATGGTGACGGGCAAATTATAAAACAGCGTGCTGTCAAAAATGTTGGTGAATCAAAACAAGAAGATGAAAGCAATGAACAGACTAATGAAGATCAAACCGAAAATGAAGCGGAATCTGATGAAGATGATGAAAGCAGTGACGACAATGATACGGAAAAAGACGACGATGTTGATGACGAAGAAACATCTACTCAAGACGAAAATGATGACGAAGAACCGGAATTGGACGAAGCTTTTATAAAGACATTATTAAAACTGTTTAAACTCGTTGCTTAATGCGTAGACGAATTAAAAAGCAGTTTTATTGGATTGCTTGATTTCTGTAGAACGGTTACAGTATAGTTGAAGCTAGTTAGTTACTGTAGTTGATACATAATAAGAACACTGTGCAATTTTGTAAACATGAGATGGTGTGCGAGTGCTTGAAATTGTAGTTTCATTCAATATATTCAAACACGTAAGGTATACATACGTGTTTGAATATATTTGTATCCACCCCTTGGCCCTAGGCAATGTTGGCTGTGTGTTAACCTTCCAGTGGTCGCACCCTTGTGCCGAACATAAGCAGTCGCGTGCGATCTGTGAGACTGCAACTTTACGCATTCAGTTTAAGAAGACAATTGAATATTTCATGACGTAGCACATGATAAAAAAAGTCTTTCATCTATTTAAATTAAAATAAGAAAACATTACTTACTTTTTTTTCTATTTGTACTTATTAGTTGAACAGTCTATAAAAATTCAAAATTTTAATCATATGACACAAACAACGTTAAAAATCAACAAAATAACAAAACAAGATGAAATTTTCCATCTTAATCGTTCATAAGTATGACACTATAATAGATTATTATCGAGATCAATCAATATTGTCATCAATTGCACAATATTGTAGGAACTCTAAAATCACATTAATTTTTTAATATTTTTTTGATCTGATGTTCTACGTAATATCTCAATTCTTATAAAATAAAAAAGGAAAACAAAATAAAAAACTTCTAACGTTTTACGATAAACTCATTATCAGTAGCAATGGTTTGACAAAATCAAATCAAAATCATCAAAATCTTCATCTGCTGTTTCCGCCTCCTCTGCAAGCCATTGTGATTCTTCGTAACTCATGTTGTGTCTACAACAAATAGTGAAATAATGAATAATTTAATACATATTACATAAAATAATGTAATTTTGTAAGTCATATAGTACAAATAATATGAAATAGTCACCCAGGCATTGACTTACAATTGTAAGTCAATGCACCCAGGTTTAAATTTCATTCCATGAATTTTTCTGGAACACGACCGGTCGCGCGCGGAATCTGAGACCGCAAACACTAATAAAGACACATGTGCGCTTGCGTCACAGGGCTACTAAGGGGAAGTACCTCACCCCCTCGAGGATATCATGGTCACGCAACCATTTATTGTTTATAGTTTTTGTAAAATGACTAAAATAAGGTCGCTGCGGTCACTGAGACCGCGCGCGACCGCTGGAAGGTTAACACCTTGATCGAGTGTCCAACTTATCATACCATATCTATCACATCTATGATGTATCAAAATGTTTGTCCTTATGCATTTCATTATTATTATTCATTCGATTGTGATAAAACTTGTGGCCACGCCCGCAACAGTTTCTTAAGTATTAGATGCTACTAGCGAACAGTGTATCTTTTGAGGAGAAGGTAAAGGCCCATAGTCTTCCACGCTGGTTCAATACGGGTTGGGGTCTTCACACGTTGTCAGTGGCATTGCAACGCCGCACCATGGGAAATAGTAGAACAACAGCGTATTAAAAATGGTTTTGACCAATGTCTTAATTGAGATACACATTTAACTTTATTTGACAGTTTAGATATCATAGTTTATTGCACTAAAGGTTTTTTTTATGTTAGATAGGTATGTTAATTTAATATAAATACATCCAAAATGTCCTTTCCCGTACTTATCTCGTTCTACCGTATAATTTTAGATCTTTCAACGTCGCAATTTGTATTAATTTTATTAGATACCTACGTTATGTGTTATTATATTTCTATAAAGCACATCTTACGTAAATGTCAAAAATAGTTGATATTTTTAAATTTGTTGTGTAAAGCAAAGAAAATCAATCATAATTAAAAATGGAGACATAAACCTGTTTTTATCAAATTTATTAAAGGTTTTGACTGTTAGCGAAGCTTGCCGAATTTTGAATTTCGAATTTTGTATTATTTAATTTCATTCATTAATTAACAAAATATTATAAAAATCAGCTGCGGTTTTTTGCGGTTTCTAAAGCTATGAAAGAAATCATAATGTCCTACCGCAGAAAAATACCTTTACCAATGCAAGGCGATAAGATAATATGGATGCTGTTGCATTTATCTTATTTATCAATATTATTCACACTACGCCATGGCTATGTAATGCTCTGATACTTTAATTTCATAAATTTATTAATACAAGCAGTCGTTTGTTACTGAACTACTTTTCCAACGCCTTCGAAAATGAGTGCTTTCAAATGTTTGAGACGAGAATTAATAATTTCAAAGAGTCGTATTCTAGAACTCTACTCAATGCTCAAGTCAGGATTGCAATTGAAACACAAGCACTGGAAATACGACCCTAATGGCAGGGACTTGAGTATGATTTCGAGTGCTTTAAACCATACTCAAATCCTGTCTTGAGCATTGAGTAGAGTTCTAGAATACGACCAATACTTTGAAGGTGGAAGAAATGGATCAGATCTAGAAACATTTTTATGAGATTGTTATGAAATTTCAGAGCACAATATACGTTTCATAATTAGTGATTTTAAAAAAAATGCTAACTCAGTTTGACAGTCGACGGAGCCAAGCATCACGAAAGAATCAAATTATAATTATAAATAAAACTGATATAATAATAAACTTGATGGACGACTGTAACATCCAAACGCTGAGCGATCAAGAAGCGTTCAGTGTATTTATTGAATTGAATCTGACCAGGGTTCAATATTTATATTTGAAGAATATTATGGATGAACGGAACTGTTTTTTACCACTTTATTACAAAGTACAAAAACAGAACTGTTACCCCTATATCAGCTATTGAAATGTGCAAAATTGTTGTCGCTACAGGATTTATTAGATTTTGCATTTCTTACCCTTCGTTTCAAAAATGGTCAGCTACGAGTGACGAAAATAAACGAATGAAACAAGAGACGAAAACTACGGTACAAAGACGCTTTCGATTTGGAATAATAATTGATAAACCACGACAACGAGGTAGTAATATGAGTAATACCAATGACGGTAACACAGCAAGATTTTTTATAATGCAGTCTGCTCTGCTGAAATTACAGCAGTCCATGAAATTTTATAAAGCGACTCGAAATGATAGATTCTCAAAAATTTCGGAAATATGCTTTGGAAACTGCAAGAATGTACGTCGATAAATGTGATTGGTATTATGTGCCATCTTCGGTACACAAAATATTAATTCACGGAGAAGGTATAATTAATCATTTTGCAGTGTTACCTATCGGACAACTTTCAGAAGACGCTTAAGAATCTCGTAATAAAGACTACAAAAAATTTAGATTACACCACGCAAAAAAGTGCTCTAGATCTGCAACAAATGAAGATATATTTCACACGTTACTTTGTACTTCTGATCCATATATTACTAGTACACGAAAACCTTATGTTAAAAATCGAAAGGATCTTGACGAGGAGACGCTATGAAAGTGGCCCAACCCATCACTGATTCTGAAAAAGATATTATATAACAATAATAATAGGCCATGATAGAAGAGACGCTAGTCTAAAACAGACCTCCAAAATAATAGCAAATATAATTTCATGTTCTTTTCGTCTCGTTTTTGTATTTATTTTTTATTTTACCTATATTATTTAGGTAAAATTTATAATCACATTTAATTTACTTTAAATTTAAGAAAAAAGACGAAATTGAGAAACGAGTGTCTTATTCCTGATATCATAAGGAACGTTTGGAACGCCAGGTTATGACTGAAATTAATTGTATATCCGATATCTTTTAAACTAAGCGGTGACTAACTCCAAAATTTTGCTACCAGAACCGATTAATTCACTAAGCGAGCTTATTCCTGTGTAGACCGTAAACACCTTTACAACTTTGAAACGAAGGATCGACTAAATCTATGTTTTGCGAGGACAACCGACTAAATGGTGATTTTTTACTAATCAAATGTAAATATTCAACCTTGCGACTGAAAATAAGATGCGTTTTTAGAACACTGGTTTTAGCCTATTATTATCTGTATTTTCTTACATGAATGTAAAACTGTTTGAAGGTTTTCTAATTGGTAATTTGATTACAAGAAATAAAAAACCATAATTAAATTTTAGCAATTTATTACATCATTATTATACAAAATAAATTTCAAATACAATAATTATAACACAACCAAAGCAAAACATTGAAAATTGAATTTGAGAGATACGTTATGTCAAGGCCAGTGTAGGATTAGCCTTAAATGCATTAGGATAAGGGTTATTTCTGTAATTAACTAATTATGACTTGATAGGTTAGTAATCCTACTCATTGGCAGTAACTCATCTTTTTGTTTAAAGTACTGGCAATTTCTCAAATTTATTTTTATTTCAAAAATCATGAGAACAAATTACGTATGCAATAGAATAGTTATAAAAAATAAACATCTAAAATACAAAAACATAGCAACAGTGTTAAAATTAAAGTACAAACCGTAAGGCGGAGTGCGGTGAAGGAAGACGCGACGTTCTCACGCATTATAGGCGAAGCACCGTTGTAACTTATTAGAACCCGATTTAGATGTGTTAAATATGCGACTAAGTTACGCCGCATCTTATCATCTGCCTTCAGTTTCAAAACAATATTATATTCAGTCAAATGGCGTCGCCGGATGGCCAAAAAAAAGTCTATTAAATGTAGTCAAAATAAGTGGTCAGGTCGAATACATAGGTCAGGTCTAACAAGCTAAGCAAAAACAGGGCGCCGGTTTAATTTATAAAAAACTTCCTGGTCCACCAAACGCACAGTATAAAAGATTAGCTAATGAGTAGATTAGATATGTGATGTGTTAAAATATATATGTAGATGCATGTGTCGATGAAAACGTGCAAAAATATTTTTTTAACAAAATATTCGCAACAACACTATCGCTAAGATAACGATTTGGCGAATTATCGGTACACAGATACATAACACACGTCTGTATCTTTGCGCGTTTTCATCCAACACACGTCCTTAAGCCTACCCTAAAGCGAATATAATAGAAAGTACGTGTTTGTATATCTAGAGATTTCAATCGTTTAACCATATTTTGACCAGATACGTTTTGCCCTACAATAACGTTTCCACCTCAGATATTATCAAATAATGCGACTATCTAACGGTACTCATTAGTTTTGGCAAAACGAATTCTTTGGCAGCACGCACGCTTTGATAATATCTAACATTATATCGAAAAATATCACCGTGAAAATTACCTTGCCGTTTGTCATATCCATGGCATTTAACACACTATGAACCTAAAGTTTAAAAAATAGAATTTACAAATTCATACTAAAATAATATTATCATTAAAAGATCAATTTAGAAAAAGAGAATGAGAATTAGGTAAATAAATAAACAAAACAACTATGTACAAAAAATAAACTAGTCGTGTCTTGCGATGGATGCGACAAATAACGAATTAGCATTTCCGTAAACAATTCCAAAGTACAATCCCATGAACTCCTACTGGTATATGGTATACGCGGTTACATGAAAATATCACGAAATCGAATACATAGTTTACATTCCGTTGATTACACAATAGATTTAAAGCGTGCTCTTAAACATTTAATTGTATCAAATCCTTCAACGTTTTTCCGTAAAAAAGTATGAAATAGCTGCGGTCGTACAAAATTTTCTATTCTTCTATTCTATTCGGAGTATAAGAAGCTGCTCTTAGCGAGCGGCTTTTTTAAGTATCATTTTAACCCGCGAACCCTATGCGGTGCGCGGGGGCGAAATATATCAGTTCATGATGGCGGAGGCCGGAGGGTCAAAAGAGGCCCACGTCTTTTTTCAGGTTGGTCTGCTTCCAGGCGGGAAGTCCTGAGAAGTCTTCTTTGGTCATGCCGAAAGCCTCCTGCAAAGAGAAACATTCAATCAGTCGACGGACATTATTAGACGAGACGTTATTTTTAATCCTTCGATATTTCAGCTGCGAGATTATGTAGCTTGAGTGCTGAAATCGTTATATGAATCCTTGAGGCTACGCACCAGGAAATCAGGAGAAGACAGATGTCTCTCCAAGTGGTGTGGGTCGACATGGTCGGGCAGGGGGCGGCGTTGTAGCGCGGCCAGCGGCAACACGGCGGCACACGACGTCAGCCGCGATAGTTCGCACGCGCCCGACAGCACCTCACCCGATTTGTACCCGTGCTGCAATTTACAGTGCTGTGCTGTACTTGTATTTACAGGTAACAAGCTGTACGAGGGGAGCAGTGGTAGAGTTGAACCCAGATAAAGAGAGAAAGGTAAGCCAAGTTTGAGTGCTATGTAATCCCTTTATGATATAACCTACTTCCACCGTATAGCTTTAAAATTATATTCCATTTCCATTCCTGTGTAGCCATTCACCATTATAAGAATTAAGTAGAAACATATTAAGTTCTTAGGTTTTCGCGATTGTTTTTTTTTTCTGAATCGCGTATATTTGTTTTTTCAAACATACCATTGACTAGCCAGTCTTGACCGTTTACATGTCGTAAAGGGCCAGAAACGTTGGTTTGTTTGAAGAAACATTAAGATTTAGATGAGAAAAAAGTAGTTTAACTTTCTACTTAGCCAATCACCAGAGAATGTCACCAGCACGACCGCAACCAAGCGTAAGTAATTCAAGTATGTAAGTACCGCAATGTTAGCTTCGGCGGCCTCGTCGTGCTCCGTCCAGGTGTCGAAGAGGTCCGTGAAGGCCTGCGGCTCCAGCCCCGCGGCGACGACGCGAACGTCCGGCCGCGAGTCGCGCGACGCCTTCCAGTACGCCTCGGCGGTGCGTAAAGCGGCCGCGCGTAAAGCCTGCCACCGCATGGCGAAGGCTCCCACTCCTGAAAAAAGATAACATTTAATATTACTTCAGCCGGACCGAAGAATGTTTTTTTGTATTTGTTTCACCTTTGTATCAATAATAACACAACTAGTGGAGTAGTTTCGCAAAAATCATGGTAGTAAAAATACAATACAATACAAATATTTCACACACTGGGACAAACACAATATAATACAAAAAATAAAAATACAGGTACAACAGCCGGCCTTATTGATATATAGCAATCTCTTCCATGCAACCTTCGGGTTACAGGAAAAGCTATGAGATAGTAATTAACATCATATTCAACAAATATTGCATTTAACAACCCATGCACACGTGTATACGCGCAGATAAGGCCCTTATGTCGTTTAGGCGTTTCGGCGTAATGTATAAAAAAAATGTAATCCGTGATAGTCGCAGAAATTCCTAACTTAAAACGCTTTGAGCCTGGTCGTATAACTTTATTAAATAATGTCTCCATGAAGCAAAATACACTATCTACAATATTTAATGTACTTTCCATTCGTGTTCCACAACCGTGAGACGCCCTGTACAATAATACAATATAATTATATTCGATCCCATTACCAAGTTAAAAGATAGACAGTTTTTTCTGGCCAGTATATTTTAAATACGTGTTTAAAAAACATGGCAACAATACTAACCGGTATTTCGCTCTGCTGGCTCGAGCTCCCCGTCGACACCACGCGGCCACCAGCCCTGCCACAGCCACACGTTCAAGCCGTCGTCTAGCAGAAACAGGGCTGCAAAAATACAATTACGATTAACTAAAATATATATTGACGGCCTCCGTGCCGTACGGTTACCATATACACAGATTCCGAGTTCGATTCCCGGGCCGAGATAATTATTTGTTTGACCTAGATTTATTTTTCTCAGAGTTTGGGTAATTTGTGGTTGTCTATGTGTGTGTATGTGTCCCTAGTGCGGGGCATGAGTGTGTGCGTGACTATTGTAGATATAGACAGACATTTAACTTGTTGTCTATTAATATCGTATCACAGATACCCCATGTATCACAGATCTATTTTTAGTTGAAAACGTAAAATCTACAATTATATATACGTACACTAGTAAAACTGCATGTTTGCTAGCGACACCACACATAACATTGCTAATTTGAAAGAACATTAAGACTGCTAAGTGATCCTATGGGATACAACATTGCTTAAGAATTTTAACCAGACCTGTTTATTTTCTTTTCGTCCAGAATGGATTGAAACGGATTATATATTTGACTTAAAAGTGGATGGAGTAATAACTAAAATTACTAAGAATCATGTCCACTTACCAGGCTGCGAAGCGGAATACAACTCCTTTTGTTCAAATGGAAAAGGTGTTACTAAATGTTCATGTCTTAGCGGTGATAGCACCTCATGAGCCTCAAACTGACCGCCCAGATCCGTGAAATGGTACAACCTCGGCGTCACATCAGCTCCTTCCTTCCCACCGTTTAACACAGCGTTGTAGTACTGCTTATTTGCACAACCTAAAGCTTCCAAAACTTCCTTGGGCTCTTCTCCTTCTTTCACTTCAGTTATCTTTATATCTGACACGTTACTACGGAATAAATAGCTCGATTTTCTTGCAATAAGTTTATTCGCTAGTTCTATAGCGATGTTCTTTGTATGCTTCAAGCTTCGGGCTCCATGCCAGATGTACAGGCATCCCTTTTCTGTATCAACCAGTAATAGAGACCCACGGCTGCGTAGTTGCCGTACTGAACAAGGGACCTGGAGTAGATATGCTTCGTTAGACAAATTGCCCCGAGTAACGAATAACCTGTATCGGCTTTTGTCTGTGCCTTTTTTGCCTTGGTGGATGAGTAGGTTTCCTTGGAAGATGTTAAAGAAAGCTGGCGGCTCGTTGCCTTGAGCTACTCGCACTTGGGGTCCCTTTTCTTTGTCTAACTCGACAGTGAGTAAAGCCGCAGCGCCTTTTTCGTTCGAAGAGGCATCTTTACCCTGCCAGCAGAAGTAGGCACAACGATCACGACCCGTCACGTTGTGTTTAGACGGTTTACCGTTCAATTCTCGGCCTGAGACAGTGATCAGATATTCCCATCTGATAATGTAGCTATCACCTGAAAAGAATTCGGGTATCTCTGCATTATCTTCGACCTTCTGATAATCGTACTCCTGTATGATCCACTTTGCAACTGATTGAGTGGAAATATTGTAATGTCTCCCGCTTTCTTTGTCGTAATAACTCGTGCCGCGACCGAGATGGGACCCTTCTAAAATGAGATCTGGATCCTGGTACTCATTTGACCACATTTCTTCAGCATCGCAGGGAGTTATTTCCATACTATTCGACTTATTCTCCTGTGGTTTGATCTTGATGATTCGGCTATAGTCAGGCCAGTCTAGGAATTTCTCTTTGAATAGGATTGTTTCCATGTGCTGACTGACTTTCGAGAAAATAGCCCAATCAGGTCTACTTTTGGACGCTTTGGAAGGCGCTTCGGACTGTTCCCTAGCACCTTGATATCCCGCCACATTCAGCGGATTGATATGACACTCCTCGTAATTGTACCCTTCATCGAAAAGCTCTTGGGCCAATTGCGCGGCGCGTCTTCGACTCTCCAAAGGAACGTTTTTTCCATACCAAATGTACATTTCAGATCCAAAATCAAAAACTATAGTCTTCGACTGGTGTAGCATGGAAATCTTTGGTATTTGTCCCCAATATTCTTTTATAGGGACGAGTTCATCATCGAAGACTTCATAGCACATATTTGTTTGAACAATACAAGATTCATATATCTCGTCTTCGTCTGGATGTCCTGTTTCAGCCGGTTTGTAGTCTTCAATGTCGTCGGTGACGCCGATGAGGGACCAGAATTGGTTCCAGTGCTTGTTCGAGTACTTCTTGTTTTGTTCGTCGATCTGAATGACCATGGAGGAGTTTTTACACCCAAGGTCCTTTGTGTTATGAACGTGGTTCGCGATGTCTGTGCTGCGATTCCTGGAAATAGATAATTTAAGATGATTATTAGGTGAGGTACAATAAGCGTTTATTTATGTCTGCCGTCAAAGAACCGTATAAAAAAAATAGTACACAATTACAAAATGTTCTAAAGTACAGTCGATGCTCTGAGATAGCAGACCACCTCCTAGTCGACCTTTTGGTTCTGAGAGCCTTAAAGAGAGCAGTGTAAAAAAGTTCTAGATTTTTGATTAAAATTTGTATTTATGTAATTAAATTAAAAAACGACTTGACTTCAAAAGCTTCTTAGAACGTCATTCATTGCATACATAAGGAAGTTATATCAAAATAAATTTCACGGCTCACAGGTTTAATTGTGGGTTCCCAAACTTTTTGGGAACTACCTACTTAGGGTGTAGTCCAAATGAAAATGGTGGGCAAGATAAAAAAAATGTAACGCTCACCACCACAAAAAATAATTTAAAACACGTATTTTTTTATATTAACTTAACACTGACTGACTAACACTTCTGATTTTTTAGAAAGACAATAATATATACTATTTACTATATATTATTTTAATATATTTCTTTATAAATATATTATTAAAAAGAGTAATTTATATAGATAATTCAGGTTTTTTTTTTCAAATGCAACAGTAGCCCCTGGGCAGCATTAACGTCCCAAATTGCTACCCCTACCACCTCCTTACGACTCTTCAGCGCCCACTTAAGGACGGGAGGAACCACTTCGGGAAACTAAGGTTTAAATGTTAAGTTTGATTAACACTTTTATTCACGCCGATCTACTTAGAACCAAATAGTAGGTTAAGGGGTCAGGTATCTTAGGGGATCGAATGTACGTCTATGCGAACCGGTAATTGCCTTTACCGTTGCCGGAAAGCATAGTTTATGGAGCAGGGAATGCATAAGCATCGCTGCAATTTCCATTCTTATCGTACAAATCTATAATCTAAAATCATAATAACAGTATACTTGCCTTTCAATAACGTTAGCATATTGTCCTATGTAGAGAAACACGTTATCAGGTGTCACTAAGATGAAGCAGTCGCCGCGGTTCACGTTTGTGTGCACTGGCTTCACTAGCCTCGTCTGTAAAAATATGATTACAGTGTAAATGTTTGCGATTAATAAAGAATAAAAACTGTGTTCCAAAAGATAGGTAGGGAAGAGCTAATATGTAGAAACGAAATAGTAAAAACTATTTATAAATAGACACAATGACCCTGGCTTAAGGTTTTTTTTTTGAGTGCAGGCAACAGCGGCTGTGGAGGCCGTGGTAGCCTATTGGTTTGACCTACTGCCTCTCAAACAGAGGGTCGTGGGTTTCATGTTTCAGGTGGGAACATAATTATAGCATGAAAAAAAAAATCGAAATAAAAAAGAAACAAAAATAATCAAGCGATAAGCCATAAAGTGTGCATGCCGTGCTGTTACGGAATCTGTCATCCACTCAGCTTCAGTCTCACTGCTTCCACTATATACTACTCTGTAAATAGGGGTTTTCAATATTTACCTGCACACGTCTGCGCCCTTTGACCTGCAATAGCATTAGCGATTTGGTCCCTTGGCTGGGCACGGAAGAGTTGGAAGCGCTGCGTAGCGCCACATTCGCGAAGTCCTCTTTGCTGGCCAGCGCCGCGAGGGCTTCCGCTGCCAGGCCGCAATTCGCAGTCGCTGAAATTATTCATTTTGTTAGTATCATCATCGACAGCCCTAATAAATGCCCTTATTCGACACGAATTTCATCGCGCCGCGTTGCCGCCGCGAAGCGACCGCGTGCTAACTGGTCTAACTGTCATGGCAAAGTACGCTCTATTTATTTAGATTTTACGTCTTTGGTGTACGCGGCGCCCGCGCGGTTTTATTATTCAGAGGAATTTAAATGTTGTTGGCTAGTAAATAGAATTCAGATTCGCTATTAATGTACGTGAAAGCGTGGTAACTGGGCGGTCAATGCGAAAACTGTAGCGTCGTATAACTGGGCGATAATGTTGTAATTGCTGAGCGAGTTTAGGCCACAGTGCATCACGCTAGCAACATCACGTTTTATAAGGGTTGCGAATCTTATATGAAATGCGAGAGGTGTTGTTTTTTTACCAAGTGATGAGCCGAATAGATGGGCGTCACGCCTGTCCATAACCGTTGCAATGCCACTCAGGATTTTAAATTACATAGATCTGAGGGGCACTGCCGCTGCGCCCATCAATTTGAGACATATATTGACAAGTGTCACGTGTTTGTAATTACACCAGCATCTTTACACCCTTCAAAACCGAAACGCAGTAATGCTCACATTACTGCTTGGCGGCTGAAATATGTAAGGTGGCAGTACTTCGCAGGACGAACTCTTTCACAAACAGTTCTACTGCTATTAATTTATATTATTACTCCATTCATAAAAACACGTAACTTAGAAAATTTTAAAGTCGAACGAAACGGCTAACCGCAGCTTACTTGTTCTCCTTTACAAAGTCATTTTACCGCGCGTGATCAGGAGCGTACAGGATTGTGTGCGCGATTACCTGTTTGAAGTTTTTTAAACTAACGTTGTTTCGTGCGCAATTGCTTGTTTTCGTTTTCGTTACAACGAAAAGAGCGTCCGCATAAAGACTAATTGCGCAGGATAGACTGCGTGAAACTGGCGCGTGTTGGTGCGTCAGTGATGACCGCAATCGCTCACGATTGCTGTATCACGCGCGATAGAGTGTCTGTGTAAAGCCCGCTAATGACATTAAAGGGCTAGACCATATTTTTACTGTAAACAACAGGTCTAAAAAAAAAATGGACGGGGCCAGCTACAATCTCCAATTGCAAAGAAAACTGTTTTTGGACTAGGAAGGCTTCAAATTTGCTGATAGCAAATGCAGCGATTAAATAATATAGGCTACCACCACTCTGGCATTCCACACAGTAATTACCACCAATACATGCAAGTTTGATAGTAGATGTTGTTCGTTTTCGAACACATTAGATGAATTATAGTTCACATCAGCAATCGCTTGTTAAACGACTACATCAAGTGGCAATTGGGCGCAGTCGCTACGAAACAATTAATGTTGGTTGGGACCAGTCCACTGTGATTCCCCCATAGGCCATAAATCAAAAAAAATCATTGGCTTATCCCGGTTAGATCAACTCACTAAGTTAGTAACTAGTTAACAAGCTTCCAAAAACTATAAATATCAATGTAATTAGGTCACGTTATCATTCACTTTTGTGCATCGGAAGTGAGCGCATCGCGAGACTAATTATCACCACGTGTGAGTCATCGAAACTTAATCACTTTGTTTTTGAGTGTCACTATTCCAAATCAAGTGTTTACGTGTTGTGAAAGCATGGAGATCCAAGAGCATGGTATGTACTTTTATTATCAATTTTTTTAAATTTTTTTTATGCATATTTTTTTTTATATAATTTTTTTATTGAAGGCAGTTTTTTGGTGAAAATTTTTGGCATAACTTAATTTCCTTTAGACCTACAACTTTTGGCTGCGCTGAGCTGCACCTGAGGTATATGGTTTTTGAATAAGGAGTATGTCCTTATTAAGAGCTATAAGTTTCATTTGCATCTTGCTGCCTCTTCTTGGCTTAAAGGGGTGTCAAAGTATGCATGTCCATAGTATTGAATTTTTAATTTTTTTTTAAGTTCAGCTTTCATATTGTTTTAGGTACATTTTTCAAATGTTCTGTATCGAGGATGACAATTTTTGATATTTGGCACTCTAAAGTGGGTAATCCAAATGAAAAAATGCAACACGTCCTGAGCACTTTGACCGAAACATCATCCCTTTCTGACGACATCGAAAATATTGATTTAGAGACTTTAAGCCTTAAAATTAAGAATATTTGTAAACGAATTTCCCACTACTGGGCAAAGTCGAATCGTACTAGATCTAAATTCTTAGAAAAATATTCAGATTGGCTGCATGTCGTTGAAAATATTGATGTACAGCGAACTGAGTTACGTGTATCTCAGAGCTTTGACGAAGTTAAACCATCAACTTCTTCATCGCATGGCCGTCCGAGAATTAACTTTGACGACACCAGTAAACGTACAAAAAGGAGAAGATTGGCTAGTTTGTCTAACCAAGACCCTTCTCTTGTACAGTCATTGCTCAATGCGTCCGATAGCTTGTCTTGTCCTGAAATCGATTCTAGCGAAGTTTTATCGCTCATTGTTGAAGCTCAGTTAACTCGACATCAATATATATTAGTAAAGAAATTTATAGACAATAAGTTTTCAAAAACCATTTTCCCATCTTACCAAAGTGTCGTGGAATCTAAAAAACACTGTTATCCTTCAGATATTACTGTTACAGAATCATCCGCCGAAGTCGAACTTCAAAGTTTATTAGATCATACTGCCAATCGGATTCTCAAGTCTCAAAAAGATGTTTTGGATAGTGTACCTAATGAGTCTCTAGATAAGATATCTTTGATAGGGAAATGGGGTTTCGATGGCAGTACAGGGCATTCAGAATATAAACAGTGTTTTTCTGACTCCACTCTTGAAGACAGTAGCCTGTTTGTTACTTCGTATGTGCCACTTCAGCTTGTTTTGACAACAGATAACAAAGAAAATTCAGTAGTTTTGTGGAAAAATCCTCGTCCTTCATCAACTCGATACTGTCGTCCTATACGCCTCCGATATTTGAAGGAATCGACTGCAGTGTCAGTTGAGGAAGAAGCTCATTGTAAAGATAAAATAAGGAACTTGCAGCCTACTGTTTTCAAGGAAGAAGATCGCGAATATCGCATTACTCATTGTTTGCAACTTACTATGGTAGATGGTAAAGTGTGTAATGCACTTAGTGGTGTTTCTTCATCAAAATGTTTTATTTGTAACGCCTTGCCCAGTGAAATGAACAAAATTGACGAATGTTTAAATAAGGAAGTCGATGAGAGTAAATATGAATTTGGTTTATCACCTCTTCACGCGTTAATACGTTTTTTTGAATATTTTGTTCATGTCGCGTACAAGTTAGATGTTAGGAAATGGCAAGCTAGGTCCGCTAATGACAAAATGCTTGTTGCTACAAAAAAATCATATGTTCAGACTCAATTTAGAGAAAGATTAGGGCTTATAGTGGATAAGCCTAAAAGTGGCGGAAGCGGAACATCAAACGATGGTAATACAGCCAGGCGGTTTTTCTCGAATTCAGAAATTTCCGCTGAAATTACTGGGATCAAGAAGGATCTCCTAGATCGTTGCTGGATCATCCTTCAATGTTTAAATTCGGGATATAATATTAATAAGACGAACTTCGAAGAGTTCGCTTTAGAGACGGCTCGGCAGTTAGTTGCCGAGTATCCGTGGTATAACATGCCTGCTTCCGTTCACAAAGTTCTAATTCATGGTGCTAATGTTATAGATTACGGTTTGTTGTCAATCGGAGAGTTGTCTGAAGAAGCAGCTGAAGCGACTAACAAATACATCAAGTCTTTTAGAAAAAATCATACGCGTAAAATGAGTCGCATTGTGACCAACACAGATTTAGTAAATAGGCTGCTTCTTCATTCAGATCCCTTCATAACAGGTCTACGAAAGTTACCTGTTAAAAAAAAAGGTGTACTGTCAAAAGCTGTATTAGACTTGTTATGTATTTAAAGTTAATATTGTTGAGATTTAATGTATTTTGGTATAATTTGTGTTTTGTTTGTATTTTGTAAAATGAACTTTTTTATGTATTTTTATTGTTTTAATTTATTCATTTGTGGTTATTGTTAATACAAATAATCATTATTTACACAGTTTTACCATTAAAAGTCGCAGTATAAAATATTTTAGATACATCGTCTAAAAACAAAATTACTGCGAGACATTTTTACACCTAAATATTGTCAAATATTTTTTAAAATGTATAATTTTATTAATTTACGTTTACCTAATCATATTTTAACGTAATAAAATAAAAAAATAATAATAATTTCGGAGTTACGTATTTATGACCGCCTTAGTATGGAGCGTGAATCACCGTGCAGTCCTAGGAATGTTTTTTTTTTGTCTCATTAAATGTAGTGTGGAATATTCCAACGTCATAATAATATTTACCTTTCTCCTTAATGAGTTGGTCACGCAGCGTGGAAGGCGGAGCTACATATTCTTCTCTAAGGTCGGTTCTGGCCGCAAGCGCCTTGAGAGGGTTGCGCGACGCCGCGTGTCTACGCTCACGCTTCGCTCGTCGAGCCCACTCGCTAGCCAATCTGCGATTTGTTTCATAAAATTTCACTGCATATCGTCACGTCATTGATTCACAGGAATTGTCATTTCAAAGAACAACAATTAGTCCCTAGACTGTCCAAATAACGTGGGCTGTCTTAGTCATAAGCTCCACTACATAAAATTTACTTTACGCGGCACAGTGGACACGCCCACTATAATGTACATACGTATTATTACGTTTTATATACATTTTTCCTTCTCAATAAAAATTACTTACAACTGCCTAGAACCGCTGTCGATAGCATCCAGATCTACATCCACGTCAGCAGCTGGTTTTTCTTGCTGCAGTACAGGGGCAAAGAATGCCTGGAAAGTTTCGTCGTCGGCCCGAGGCACCCGCACTGTACAACCCGTCTTTTCAGGACCTGGCGAAATCTCTTCATCTGTGAATAATAGGATAGAATTAATGTTTATTTGGTAAAAACAAAGATGGCACAAAAATTGACAACGCATTAAAACGTAGTAGTAATGGAGATGTACAAAATGGTAAAGATAATATAAGATAATAAAAGAATAAGATAATAAAAGGTATGTCTGTAAAATTGAAATGATTCCGTCGTGTTACGAAGACATAACTTAGAAAAACGGGTGCACCTACGCTAGGTGCAGACCACATCCGTCCTAACATCTTCGTATTATAAGGTCAATTACCTACCCACCAAAGTCGAGATCAGGGCGCCTACCATAACCTTTCCAAAAACAATCTTATTTCAATATAAGCTTAAAGTAAGCTTGTTATAATATTACTCATATTCGTACCATGACAAACTTGTCTACTAAGAAATGTATTATTGCTAAAATGACTGAACGAACGAATGATTTCCCAATATTGTCTATTCCTAACAAAAAATAGGTAAGAAATAACGCTATGTGGACTGTCTAATGCCATCTCTTTCTTTTTTGATGTTCCGAATCGTGTTATCGTAGTATAATGTTAAAGTACTTAATGTTATTTACATTCAGAGAATTTTAACTGCCAAAAAAAGAAAAGTACGTAATAATGAAATCTATTAAAATTACGTTGTTTACTATTATTATTCCGCATTTTCTTGTAGAAAAATAAATAAAATAAGCTAAGTATTGATAGTCACGTTGTGAATTCGGAATTATAGTCTAGTGTCAACTGTTAGTTTCGCCAAGGAGCATATAGATGGCGCTGTCATAATTTTACGATATAAACATCGCGTATTTTTACGAGAAATTATTTCCTATGTGCTATTAAATAAAAAATAAACAAAATATTGAAGAGATATATGTAAATAAATAAGTTCAAGTTAACTTTTAATCATTACAAATTAATATTAAGACAATAAAACCGAAAATAATATTGTTTCCATCGCATCCGTGTAACTATTTTAAAATTGCTAAATTTGACATAAGAGCAATATTACTTTAATGTCAAAGTCGCATCATAGTACGAACTGAGGGAATGAATAGCCACAAAGCTGCCAATAAAACATCATAGTTTTAACATTGCAAATAACCTTACATTAAGTGCGTTATGGTACGAAAGGTCCATGTAAGGTTCAAGTAATATCGTGTTAAGAGGTTTTGGTAGGCCCCCAGAAATGTGTTTAAACCATCTCAAATCAATGGGATTTTGTTATTTTAAAATTACGAATACAACTCATCTTTTTTGGTTAATGGACGTAATGGAATATACAGGGCGACTTTTTTTTTATTTCACTATATTTTAGGAGTTCCTGCTGTCCATCACACTGATCTGTAAAAACACTTCCTCTAACATCATGTAGTAAAAACATGTAGAACTTACCCTCTTCCAGTCGACTGATGCTCTCGCTGACGGAATGGCTGCGTTTGAACGACTCCCTGTCGGGGCGTGCGGCCTCTTTGGGTTTGATTTCTGTTGTCGACTGGCTTACCACTGCGCACGACGCAGATCGAAGTGGTCCTGATGCAAACCCGTTCGTAGGGGAGTTTTGTTTGCGAGATCTGAAAGAACACATAATGATGTAGTTGATTTTTTTGTATTTATGTCTTCAAATTCAATCATGTGTTGCTTAATTTCTACATTATCAGTTGCTTCACTTGGTCGCTTATGTCGCTGTCGGAATAAGTAGGTCGTATAGTGAAGAAAAATATATTGATAAATCTTGGAAAAGGTCCATAAAACTCTTCAAAGACATGGAAAGAATCCACTCTTTAGAAGAGACCCGTGTCCAGCAGTGGAACGTGTGTAGAAGTGAATAGAATAAGAGAGATTAAGATTTAGGAGCATATATTAATTATCATTTCCTAAGTTTAAAAACTACATTAAAAATATTTTGATTGAAAAGACATATTATTACAAAATTGAAGACTGGGTTAGATAAGATGTATGGAAAGACGACATGGCTCTAAATTCCACATAAATTTGATTCAAAGTGTATTCCATAGCATTTAAGTTTTCTTGAAAACAGCAATCCCTAGTTTCTTGCTCGTTCTTCAGCAGTAGCAGTAGCTTAAATGTGACGTTTTCAATTGTAAATTTATTTTACCTATATAATTTTTTTTCCCATTTCCCAAGTCGAAATCGCTGAGAAACTTTTCAAAATGGTTGATTCATTTTACAGATAACAATAGTACCTGATATTTCTCTGAGTACTTTGTATAATACTATATTATATTTCATTCGAGTATATTGTAATTTAATTTTGTTTCACATTGGTTTGCTTTTATTATTCTAGAAACTATAAACAATTGTAACAAACTATCTAAGCACGTGGTATTTTGACAGTCAATTACATAGCACAATTGGTAACAGTCATTGACGCCCCTAATAATAAATCCGTCTCAAATGCATGATCGATGTCTTATTATTACTTGAGTCATCTGTCTTTATTAATAAATATCACTTGAGTGCCATCAATGGTTACTCATGATTACAAATAATTTGAGAGTTGACAAGATTGTGGACTTATTAATAAACATCACCTAATCATAATGCAGGTTTCGATCACTAAAGATGGTATCATACAAGATGCCGATTAATTATAGTCTACTAGTTGGTGCCCGCGAGTTCATTTGCGTAGAATAAATACTTCCGAGTAGCCTACTGTACTATACTAATTTTCATAGTTCTATTGTATCTCCATACAAACTTTGATCATCCTATAAGAATTATTTTTGTGAAAAAAATTAGCGTATGTCCTTCTCGTAGATCCCGTCTATACCAAAATTCATCAAAATTGGTTCAGCGGTTTAGGCGTAAAAACATAACAAACAGAGTTACTTTCGCATTATAATACAGTTTGGATTAACGGAAGAGATCGCCTCAAGATCTAAGTGACATCTCAACAGATATGTACTTATAATCTGTTTTTTATGAAGACGGAGTAAAATGAAATTTGTGGGGTTGCCAGTTTTCATAAAATTTTAAATAGTTATGTAGTTGTTGTCGATAGTTTTATCGATAGACTGTGAAAGAAGATAAAATTTTGCCAAAAATGACTGCATTGTGAATATTACGACGTTCTAAATTATTAGTTATAGACTAATTGCGTTGTTGCCTTCTTTATTCTTATTTTGACAGTTGACGTATTAGTATCGAGATCAATTTTTATTCATATACATTTTAACAAGAGTAGCCGAATTTGATTATCTATATTGAATTAAAATGAAAAATTTAAAATATGTCTCCTTGTATTTTTCATAAACATAGTTCTAAATACAGTGTATGTATGTACGTATAAACCTACAAAAATTGACAATTCAAAAGAACTTGTGCTGGAGTAATTGGATGAATAATGGTCGTGGATGATTCAAATGAAACAAGTTGGGCTATTTATTCCATAACCATGACCAATATTCAGTCGATAGTCGATAGAATACTTATCGACTGCAATTACTAGCTGCTCGCAAGCGTGCAACACTTTAGCGAGATGAACTATCATTTTACTCCGTCTTCAAAAAAGACACTAAAATAGTACAGGCCCAATTTTAATTGAAACAGATTTGTATTTATTTTTCATGACAAAAAATTTAAAAACCGATAGGGAACGTTTAATGAACGGCCAACCACAGGCTGACAGACGTAACCAAATAAAGGCTGAGCCATTCGATACATACAGTCTGGAACTGAGGCATGCTATGGTATTTCAATATTGTAGTTAGTACCTGAACTTGTTGGGTGCAGGGATACCCGGAGTAGCAGGCGCGGATGGCGCTGTAGGCGTGCCGATCGGCGTTTGTGGTGTTTGAGGGGTGACGACCGGCGGCGGCGTGAGTGGCGGTGTGATGTTCACCTTGTCGCGCTCGAGGCGGCCCGCCACTGTGAAGAGAGCTGCGTCGCTTTGGGGTACTCGTTTTCGCCATCCCTGTGAACAATAATTGATATTTTTTTATGATACCAAATGACGGGACGAACAAGTTGTGTGCCTGGTGGTAAGCGACACGTCTGTCCATAGCAGCTGCAGTGTCACTCAAAGCTTTAAGACTTCGCAAAGATCTGGCTGGCACTGCCGCTGCGCTCGTCATCCTAAGACTTAAGTTGTCAAATCCCATGTGCCTGTAATATCACCAGCACCCTTACCCTTCAAAACCGGAACACATTACTGCTTGGTGGCAGAAGTAGGTAAGGTGGCAGACTTCCCTGGACGAACTCTATCACAAGGAGCTCTACAGCTACTAAATTACTCTTTCAAACTGCTTCAATATCATCGGACTTATTAGAAAAAACATTTTTAACATGTTTAAATCTCTACGGGCGACGTTTTAACGAAAGTATATGAATCAAAGTACTTCATGGCAAAGTAATAACTACGACTATGTTTGCTAATGTAAAATTAGCAAGCACATTTAACAACGAATGACACATTGACCCCGAGAGAAATACAAATAACGCCTCAACCAATTGAATCATTTTTTCAATGACTCATATTTAAAAGAAATCCACAAACCGTATTCCAACCATGTAGATTACAATGACAATTAATGCCATTTTAAAAGAAAAATGTTACGTCATATCAATCGTAACCATTTATATCGATTTGTAAAAAGGATAATTAAAACTGCCTGTCAATGAGTTTCCGTATCGGTTAAGAAGTGTAATATTATAATTGAAAACAAATGGTTGTACCGCTACACATCATATTCAGCAATTTTAAAAAGATCCGTTTAATGAAGAATTAACGCACGTCCAAAACATTTGACAAACCAGTCCGAGCAACAGAAACTAAATCAAAGCATAAAATTGAAACAGCAGAAGGCAAAGACTTCTTCAAATTAGGTGAGGTGAGGAATTAAGGATGTAAGCAGACACTAAAGGAATATACATAAATAATGGAATTTGAATCTGATTTTTTTAGTGGAACCAATTGGTCTAAAATATTAACATTACTTCAACTTACATGTTATTATTTATAATAGTTGTAAAATTGAACCATTGGCAACATTTTTTAACTTACTTCAAAAAAGCAAGAGCTCTCAATATGACTGTGTTTGTTTTTCAATTGTTTGTGTGTATGTTACTAGACTACTCCGACATTTGTGAACTGATTTCGATGATTCTTTTTTTGTTAAAAAGGGAGTAACTCTGTGGTGATCCCATTTAAATTTGAAGAAGATATTCCACCTTTAAGAGTGGCAATTGCCCCTAATTGAAATGAATTCAGTTTATTGAATTTCACTCGCTTTCCGTTAATCGATTTCAATAAAACTTGGCACATAGATATAGTTCTAATTAAAGTAAAATGTTATGGCGACCTAAAGTTTTGCGATGATGTGATATCGCAAAAGGAGACCGTAGAAAGAGCGAGTGAGGAAGACGTCCATGCGGATCAAATCCGGCGCAGAAGTTTGAGGGGTCGGCGAGGACTTTACAATCTTCTCCTTACCCCTTCAGCTGGACCAGGGCACAATGTTGCCCGTCCAGGGAGGTACCGAAATGCACCCCGGTATCTCCCATAACGTGAGGAGGCCCCCGCAGAAGGGGACAACCACCGGGGTGACTGGCGAGTCTTAACGGGTTCCAACGAGCTGGCACCGGTGGGGAGGGTAGGTCTCCGAGTATCTATCGGGCGAGCTTGTATCGCCGGGTGTGTCAACGGAGAAGAGTCCTACATAACCCCGCCAAGTCATCGCCCACGGCGGGGTATACTTAAAGCATTTTCCTGTGTATAAAAAAAATGGTGACCTAGAGCTGATCTGATGATGGAAATGGCAGACAGATGAGAGGAACGCCTCACAGTGTACACTGCTTCTTTGTGTATGGGCTCATATTATTCATTTTGACGAGGATTTCCATATTATGCGTTTCAGTTATCGTTGAGGAGACTACGTCAACAAACTGCGAAAGCGGAGCTAACTTTTGAAATCAGTTTTGTTTTTATAAAAAAGCTATAATTATATCACATATTCAACTGATTGAACCAATAGTTGCACTTAGATGAATGGTTGTAGTGTTTATCTAACGTAAACTATTTGAAAACTGATATTCCAAACAAAAGGATCAGGTCTGTGGAATATTGTCGCCTTACTTCCTCAAACTCGTACCTTAAAGCACCAAGTTTCTGAAATGCAAAAAAATGGATTGTATATACAAATGTTGCAAGATTATTTCCTTCATATTTACCACTAGCTTTTACGTATTCTTAAAGTAATGCATCGAAATTAACACCCTTGATAAGATAAATAGAAAGTTTTGCCATCCCCTGAATAATCACTCTTTACAAGATACGAGTATGAGAAAGTAAGGCGACGATATGCCTAATATACTACAGAGTCCACTCGTGACTTATGTGGTACAGCCATTGAAACATTGTAAAATATGTGATACATATTCGATATTCATTTTTTAATAATTCAATATCAAACAGGACAGCTAAGAGTTGAATGGTCTTCCTTGGACTTTTCGCGAATTAAATTCGACATTGAAGATATTATAGTTATTGACGCAATTACGTGTATAGCTGCTTTATTTATAAGGAAGCAAAGGTCAAGTCTTTTAAGGGTTTTCAGTTCCGTCCATAATGATAATGTTAAGCGTTACGTTTTATTTATTTAACAAAAACCTTACGAGTAATCTTATTAAAGATTGATATACAACGCAAGGAGGGTTAAAAACAAAACTTTAAAAATATACTGGAACAACGCCAAGTTCACCTGAAAGTGGAACATGTGCTGAAAATAATTTTGAAATCAAAATGTTTCGCAAACTACTTGAAACCGAAAGATCGTCGAATTGACAGTGTAACTGACACTGTAGTCCCCTCCAATGTCCTTGCAAGCGTGGGCGGCGCAGGCTCTGTGGCCAGAGCGGCCGAAAACCGCAAAAGGCTCAAATACGCCAACCTTGCTCAGTGCTACAGCTTTGTGCCTTCTGCGGTTGAAACCCTGGGTCCCTGGGGGTCACAGGCGAAACTTCTAGCGAACGAGCTGTCGGATAGCCTCGTAGAAGCCTCTGGTGACCACAAGCTTGGAAGTTATTTCCGTAGCAATTCATAGGAGAAATGTTGCCAGCCTTCTGGGCACGATGCCCCACGATACGACTCACGAGGAAATTTTCTATCTATAAACTTTGTTACTTTTTTATGTATCTACATGTCACTATAATATAATATAACACTACCATATTAAAATAAACTTTAACACACTACCTAACTCAAATTAATCTTCACAGGTTTTCCGAGGGGTGTGAACCTTCTTCGACGTACAGGTGTCATCACGATATTGTCTTTCAGACACGGTACGTTTCAAATTGAATGTCGCACATAAATACCGAGAAACTCAGAGGTGCGAGACGAGCACGGATTCTAACTCACGGTTTCTGCATAAGAGGCGGTAGGTCAAACTATTAAGCTAATGTACAATGTCAAATAAATTTTATCTACTTGTCACTGGCATAATCCGTATAAAATCATTGCCAAACTTTATGTTACAGTTCATTAAAAGTAAAAAAAAAAGGGATTTTCTGTACTTCGCCGCAACATAATTGTTTCACTTTTCTTAATTCCTGAATAAAGTTCTAGTGTCAAGCACACATTTATATTTCAAAGTATTTTAGAAGTTCGTCCAGTGAAGTACTGCCAACTCATCCATTTCTGCCGCCAAACAGTAATGTACGTTCTGGTTTGGAAGGGTAAGTGTGCTGGTGAAATAGAATGGGACTTGTGAACTTATGTCTCTGGGTGACAGGCGCAATAGCAGTGTCCCTAAGATCTTTGCGATTTAAGGCTCTGAGTGGCACTGTAACTGTTATGGACAGGCGTATAGCTTAGCAACAGGTGCACGACTTGTTCGTCCAGTCACTTGATGAAATAAAAAAAATTTAGTTGTAAATAGTTTTTGCATTAGCCTTTTTGGATAGGCGTGTCGTTTACCACCATTCGCGTCATTTGGTATTGTTTAGAAAAAAGCACCAATTAGACCCTTCTACATAAAAAAAAACGGGAGTATGTATCATATAAAATATGAAGTTAAATAAAGACATTCACCTGAGCTGCAGTTTCAAGTTTGTTCCTTCTGTCAGCGAGGATGTTAGGTCCGAGCTCGGTCTCTTCTATAACCACTTTTTTCTTGTCCTCTTCGACAGTATTAAGAGACTCCTGTAACAAACGAAAGAACATTTTAAAAATCATACTTTTAATCTAAAATTAGATTTGATGTACCAGTTTAGTTATTTAACAAAGGATTTTTTGAATATCATTATTTTTACGACCATGATATTTATTGTGATTGATACAAAGATCAAAGAAACACAAAGTAAAAATCCTTCTATCGGACTGGACTTAAACCAGCGCCTGTTGCCTCAATATGGCGCTCTTACCAGCTGAGTTACAGATGAGTCAATAGACGTCACGAATTTCTCTATGTGCTTGTTACATATCAAATGAAATGTAAAATGCAATAATGTGTTATAAGCGGCTTTTTTGGATATAATATATCATTCAAACAATTTTTTTTTAATAATATCAAGTGACGGGACGAACAAGTCGTGCGCCTGATGGTAAGCTACACGTCTTTCCATAACAGTTGCAGTGTCACTCAGCTCTTGAAATCGCAAAGATATGAGTGGCACTGCCACTGCGCCCGTCGCCCTGAGACATAAGTTGACAAGTCCCATGTGCCTGCAATTTCACCAGCACCCTTACCCTTCAGAACCGGAACACAGTAATGCGTTAGCAAGCGGTAATGTTAATTACTGCTTGGCGGCAGAAATAGGTAAGGTGGCAGTACTTCCCTGGACGAACTCTTTCACAAGGAGCTCTATTACTACTAACTAAAATAACACTACACATCCCGTAGTCTTGAATATTTTGAAGATACGTGAGCACACACCCCTGAGTGTGTTTGTTAATTTTAGTGTGTCCTTACTCATAATATACTGTTATGCTGTATATTAGCGAGGGTTGGAGTACAATTTAATTCACAGGACAATAAATAATCCCATGTAGCTTAGTCAGAGAGTCATTTCACCTGTCGATGTTTTTCAAAAATAATGACCCAAACCAAAATGGTTCATTGATTAATTTATTACAAAGTTGTATTCATAATGAGCAAAATTTTATTGTGAATAAGATACCGAGCTATCCATTGATTAAAATCATCACGTGACAACATTGGGCCAGCTTTATGATTCGTCGGTTTTGCGCGCCAAACACGTCTCAGATTTTTTTACAACTATTTTACTGATGAATTAGATGTTTTTTGGAAAGCCATTGATGTACGTTCTATCATCAATATATTTTTTTATAGCATTGTATGTCGAATGAAGTAATTCTGATTTTAAGTTTGGAACTGATTTCCATCTAACGTATTTCCAAATTGTTATGTCCTCCGAAATACAAAGTATTTATTCCAATTAAGATCATCACGTGATGAACTAAAATTAGCAGCGCTCAAATTACATAAACACATTTTAACGAATGCTAGACTCGTATGTGTGAAAGATATTAATTACAAAAAAGTGCTTCCTCATAAGCGTACGCTAACCCATTGTTTTGTGTATTTGATCTACATTCCCGACGATCTTTGTAATTTTTGTCACGCCATCTTGTGTAATTATAATTATTTTTTGTAGTTAAACTATTGCGTATACGACGTTTAATGGAGAAGGACAACTTAGTGAGGTAACCTATATGACGCAAGTTTAAAACTTTAAAGGTACATGTCTTTGCCAGAACACAAGTCTACAACGTAACACCCGCTCCGAAGAGTCAATCCGTGTCCAGACGTAAAGGGTAAGTGGACGAGATCGCATTTGATATTGAACAATATTGCGACTGACAAAGATGACAATCCAAAAGAAAGGGCAAACGTCAAAAATAACACGATGCGAAAACCACGTTTCAAAAGGTCCAACACAAAAAGAACGAAATTTTGTTTCACGATTGTTCAATGACTTTGTTTAGATTTTAAATTAAACGTTCTTGTTTCAATGTAGAATAAAACAAACTTTACAAATTTTTGCTACAATTAGAAATATAAAGTAAGTTGTAAGAGATAGCACTTAGAGCATACCAAAAATATTTCGTAGATTTTCCAACTTATTGGGCGCAAAATGAGTACACATAAATGATCTTTATCATGAATAACCAAATATGAAAATAAATTCATAACATTACAGTAATTTAACAGTGCTGTAGACAAATGACCTTGATTAACTTGTATTTAGTAAGTAATTAATTCGAAATATAAAGTAACACGGGAAGTGAGCTGCGAAATTTAACGAAATAATTTTTGGTTTTGCGCTTACAAACTTCCCGTGACCCTGGCTTCAACTTGTACGCTCTTTTATTATTAAAAAACTTGAGAAAGGAACATGCCTGAGCATCGTCGACTGTGTCCGCTGAGTCGAATTTCTTGAATACAGGTTTGAGGCCGCCGTTTTTTGTTTTATTCTTCAATTCACCGATGACCGATCCGAAATTCAGACCAGCAGGGAATCCTGATTGTTTTTGAATACGCTTGAGTAATGGTTTCTCTTCCCCACTGCCATCTAATTCAATATTATTATCTACGCACTCTTGCTTTACAGATTCTAAGGATTTTTCTCTCTTAAAAAAGGTTTCAGCAAGTGGCGAGGTTCCGTTATCTTCAGAAGCGTAACTGTCATTTAATCTTTGTATTTTGTCCTCCAATACATCTATGGAGTCCTGTAGTTTTAAGGCTTTGTTACTTATGGTATCTCTATTTACATCGACTTCTGCCTCAGCTATATTTTGCTCCTCTTGTGGAATATTCTCAGCTATGTCTAAAGACAAGTTCTGTATTATGGACTGTATTTTGTCATCACTCAAAATAGTTTTCTCAAGGAATTCGGCAAATCTTTCTTTAGGAGGGCTCTCTCGCTTGCCAATTTTTTCTGATACTTTTTCTTTTTGTTGCTTTAACAACTCAGTTGACGGTATTAATCCTCCATTTACAAGTGCGTCTGTTATCGGTTGTGATCTTTCTTCAAAATGTTTGTCTAATTTTAATTCGTCTGAGTTTGTGCCAAATAATTCATCTGCCTTATAATTTTCACTGTTATAATTTGAGGCCTCATTTAGAGTACTGTCTGCCTCATTTGGTTTAAGAATTTCTTTTTCTCTACCGATTGAATTTAATTCGACAACGATAGGTTCGATAGTTATGTCGTTTTGTACTCTAACAAAATCATCTATGGTAGGATATTTTTTTGCAGGTTTATTTTTCACTGGTTCTTTGTTTGTTTTTCCGTTTTTAGTATCATCTGCTTTGTTCTTAGTATCGATGAAATAATGTTCAATGTTAATGTCATTGTTCTTTTCTTTTCTCCTCACAATTTCTGATGAAAGTGATTTCAACTCTTCTTCGATTTTAGAGTCATTTGTTTTAAAATATTTCTTTAAATCGTTGACCCATTCTTCAGGGTTTTTACTGTTTCTAATTAATCTTTCTGTTTTATTGTCCACAGAATCTTCTACGAACGATCCATTGAAATCTTTGCTGGATCTTTTTTTTGCTTTACTACTTGACTGTAACTTTTCTTGTTTATTTTCTAATTCAAAAACGTTTTTTAATAGAGGTGTTTTTAATTTGTTATCAAAATCTTTTGGAACGTGAGGACATGCCGGTGACGTTTTTAACTTTTCTTCAGTTTTAGAAACGCTTCTGGTCAAGGGTAATTTTAGGGCACCATGTGAATCATTTTTTATTTCGCTTTGTACACTTTCACTTTGAACTGTACTACTTTCAGAGACTTGATTATATTTTTCCGTTTTTGTCGATAGCACATATTTCCAAATCACATACACTAGTATTCCAAGGCCAATTAATAGTTTGTAAAACATGTTGTCTATCCAATCACATCACTGACTAGAATATGTTTGTTATTTTATCACTGACAATGAAATATGGCGATTCTTTATGATTCGCTCTATTTATTGTTTGCACTTTACGTGTGGTAATTGTTTTGCACTATTAAGAATCACATTGCTACAGGACACGTAGCTAACGAACTGTGAATGTTAGGAGTATGTAAGGAGTGTTGCAAACAAAACGTGTGCGAAGTTGTAGAGGCAGACACTAACTGGCTAATCAAGTAAACGATATATTGAATGACTCATACGCAAGCTAGTAAACAGCATTGGCTGGTAGTGGCAACAATGACACATCTCAACGTGACATTATAGGTGCGCCGCCCAGAGGCAGACAGGTAGGGTCACTTTTGACCTTGACTTGAGAAAACCTAATGAAATACCGACATATCATATCCAAATACGGAATGGCCTTCAATAGTTACATTAGTTAGTACTTTTGTGTGATGATGTCTTACAAAATTGTAACGCAAAAACAACGACGCGTGTTATCGAAAATAACTATTGTCGAAATAGAATGATTGAACGTTATGCGTAAACAAGAGACGGACAAAACAAACAATTAAAGGCATTATGTCACCTTAAACAAACTTAACTAAATAAGTGACTTGAAGAAGGAAAATTATAAGTACTTTTCCTCGACACGAGTTGACATTCTCAGTATTTTAACATACGCAATAATTTAAAGAGACGAGCACCGTCTGCCAAATACGTCAACCTGTCCGCACCTAAAAAGGAATGCCGACAAAAACTTTAAACGTTGATTTAAAAATATTCAAATTAGCTTCTATTTTGTTTACAAGCGCAGACAGCTTTAAACAAAGACAATGTAATGATTGAAATTATTTTTAATAAAAATGTTTAGTAAATAATTAATTATTGAAAGTGCAGTGTATCGTAAAGGACGGAAATATCGCTGCGTCGATAACATAATATGTACAACAAGAGAGGTATTTATCAACTAGCAAACAAATACGCTTATCTATTTTGAATATAAATTATATGCATTGACCAGATGTTTTAACTAACAACACATAGTAATGAATAACTATAATCACTAATCAATAATGATAAGATATAGAAAAAATAAAAAATATCAACACTTGACATAAATAACGTACAAGCAGATGCATAGGAGACCGATTGAATACGAATGATGATATTAGAAAATGACCTGAATGCTTATGAGCCTAATACACAACATACTATGAACGTAGGCACGAAAATGGAAGTGCTACGTGACGACACGTGACATCAATTGGGAA